TAAAATGGCTCACAAGACCACCCAATCCCTTTTTCTTGGACTCCCCACTCATCAAAACTTTTCCGTTATTAATGTGGGCTTGCAGATATCTCAGGCTTACACAGTGGTCAAGCGTTTGGCTGCTAATCAGAAGGTCAGCAGTTTGAGTCCACCAGCCGCTCCTTGGAAACCCTATGGGGCAGTTCTACTCTGTCTTATAGGGTTGCTGTAAGTTGGAATCAACTCGACAGCAACGGGTTCAGTTCAGTTCAGCAGATATCTCAATTACAGGAAATAAAGCCATAACCCAGGGATGAGAGTATTCTTAAGCTGGAAGGTTTATCTCCACACTGAATGAATCAATTCAACCTGGCTTTATCCATTGACCTCCTTGTGCTTGGTTCACATTCACGGCTGTGACAGGACCAACTCAGGGTAAATGGATAAAGTCTTGGACTTGGAAAACAGAGACCAGATGCCAGTCAGTGGGGACCAAGAGCTTCAGCTTGAAAACGTCATCCGGCTTCAGTCCGTTGATCCTCACCTGAACCCCTCTCTCTCAACCACTCTTTCTCACTCCTGAAAGTCACCACACTGTCTACGGATTAAAGCACTTTCACATTACACACTCAATTTTAAGTCTCAAACACTGCTATGCAATATCCCAACCCCCAATCTGTGGATGAGAAAATTAAATTTCAAAATTAAGTTGCTCAACCTCCCACAGCTGCTAACACACAGTCAGAATTTACACCCAGCTCCTCAGACTCCAAGCTGAGGCTCTTTCCACTATCCTAAAGCTGTCTACTTTAAAAATTTCAGTTCTTCTTTCTTTTTGCATATTTTTTTTCAGAACAAACTGGTGGGGAACTGTCTCACAACCTGCCAGCTTTCTCCAGGGGCTCTGAAAGCAGCACAGGTTACTGACTCAGGGACAGCCTGCAGCCGGGCCCCCCACCTCCCCGAGCTTGGAACTCTCCTTCAAAGCAGATTTCAGCCCTGAACCTCTCCTACACTGAAACCCTGTAGCTGTCATGGATGCCTGTGGAGTTATTTTCAGAAACAGGGGGAAGGGAGCATGTGGATGGCACACACTGAGGTTTTCTAGGAGTCTATAAATATTTTTGCTGAGGCCACCCAGAGTTTTAACTCAACCGATTTCAAGATAAATTGTCTCCTGAGGAAAGACATCTTTTCCTCGTTCTTCCCTTCAACACCCTCAATCCTCCTCTTCCATATATATATTAACCCCCCCACCCAGGGCTTCTCCTTACCACCCCATGCTCAAAGACAGGGATATTAATAACTAGCAGCAGGCAAAGCTGATTTCTCTCTCAAGAAGGCCAAGGGGAAGCAGATCCAGTTCTTCTTGGACTCCATAGGGATGGGAAATGCTCTTTAAAATCTTTATGCAGGAAGAGACTCCTGTTTTAAAGGTCTGGAAAAATGTCCATGGATAGATTCCAATGCGTTTTTAAACCTCCCGGCTTACTCTCCAGCAGTCAGACGACTACTTCAGGAGTGGGAGAATCATTACATATACAAGACAGAAGCAGGGGAAATTAATTTTTTATGACATTAAAATAGGGAGGAAATTAAAATGTACACATGTACAGTCTGCAGCTTTGTCACTTGGGGGACATAATCTGCTGTTTACGTTAAAAAGCACTTCATCTCTGTTTATCGATGTTTCTTTGCTTTACTAGGTCAATGGTGATAAAAATCGAAACACAAACACTGGAGGTAAATGTTTTTGAAATTAGCATTATATATTAGAAGTGCCACTCCTAATACATTAAAATGAATGAATCATTAGATTATGTCACAATTAAAAACAAAAAAAGATATTAAACAAAAGCAGTAATAATGTACACAATCCAAAATACCTTCAGTTTCAAAATTAATGGTAACATTCCTTTCCAAGTAGGTAATTTTCCAGTAGAAGACACAACATATGGTATAAAGATACCAGACCTCATTAGCCATGCGTTTTCAAGTACCTTCTTAACAATAAAATACACAAGAGACTCAGTAAGTCCTGGCCCACGTTCTAACATGCCTCTTTTTTTTTTTTTTTTTACTACTTCTCAAATCAAGCTCTCTAATGTGAACAAGACAACATGTAAATTCTGACTTTGTGTAAGCAGCTGTCCTTTTTAATTCAGATCAGAATTAGCAGAGAGAACCAGTTTGCTGTGGGCTTGCCCTAGTAACTTATAACCCAGAACACTTTTCTCAAGTCTGCGCAGACTTTTTGCTAGTAGGAACTTATCTCCAAAGGGGTTATAAAACCAACTGTGGCAAAAATGAAATTCCAGAGAAAGGATCTGTCATTTTCTTTCTCTATTTCAGGAGGACACATTTAGCCTTGTCTGAGAGCCAATTATTTTATCTATGCAACAAAGTCTTCGACCAAGACCACACCCTCTATAACTCCATGAGAATGTAGGGGTCAGGACCTGCTGAACTGCAAGCCTAGAGCAAGTATCATGACCATGAAAAGCCATCCGATAGCCTCGGCCGTCCTAACCCATATGCTGGTGCTTTCTTTCTGAGAGCAGCGGTGACGCTGTGCTCAGTTTCATATCATTCCACACTCCTCCAGTTTCACAAAGCTAGACATTTTACTCTCCTACTACTCTTATCACTTTCTACAAGTGCCTGGTCCTTCAGGCAGCTGTGGTACAAGACGTTGCATTTCAGCAAGAATTTTAGGAGGAAGTAGGAAAAGAGTGAGACACAGCGCTCTCGCTCTTAATTATGAAGCCCCAAATCCATGGAAAGCAAGCCAGGTCTCTCTTCCCACTCACATAAACACAAAGCAAACATAAACCGACATTGTTTCTTAGCTCTCTGAACATTTCACTAACAGCTTTAAATAATGCCCAAATATTCACATAATAAAACCAGTTTCCTACTAATGGCAACCCCATGTATATCAGAGTAGAACTGTGCTCCACAGGGTTTACAATGGCCGACGTTTTCAGAAGTAGGTCGACAGGCCTTTCTCTCCAGATGCCTCTAGGTGGACTTGAACCTCTGCCCTTTTGGTTAGTAGCCAAGTGCATAAACTGTTTGCACTGAGCAGGGGCTCCATTCACAGGACCCATGTTTTTCCCTCAATTGGATTGTTTGTGTTTGGACTTGGTAATCAAATACAAAAAGGTCCAATTTTGTTCAATTATGCTACAGTTTGCAAACTTCTCATAAGGACACACATGCAGTTTGGGAATATCTGGGTACTTTTAAAAATTGTATTACCTGACCAAGGACTGTAACGAATCACTGGAATGTGTTGGCCCTCTCACCCCTGGGGCCTTCATTCTGCACTGCCCGGCTTATAGCCACTCCTAGTGGCCAGAACCCTGAGTTAGTCCACAACTCTATCCCAGCCTTGTCTCCAGTGGCCCCAGGCTGAACGCACCAGGCCAGGCAGATTGTCTCCATGGTAGCTTCTCATGATCACAGGGGACTAACTCCAGTCAAACTCAGAGAGCTTAGGTAGAAACAGACTATTGCCGAAATGTGGGGCCAGCCACATGGTTCAGTCCACCAGTGTCTCTGTGAGAAAGATAGAAAAATATCAAGGAGACATGGGAAAGGCAACATGGCCCCTGGTTTAGACTCCAGCCCTATGCCGTCCCCCAGGCAGGCCTGATGCAGTCATCAGGACACAGTAGCTGGCTCAGCAAGGGCAGAGGAAACATCAGGACTGCAAGAGTCACCCAGAGGCCATGCTTAACACAGCCTGAGGGGAGAGACCCAAGTGCAGTTTTAGAAATTCACAGTCTGGGAATTTGTCTCCTGATGCTGCTTCAGGTTGAGGATTAGAATGTATAAATTGCCAAGATGACTTTACAACACTGGTTTGCCCAATATGCTTTTCTTAATCATATGGATCTCTTCCACCCAGTGCTCCTCACCACACACCTTACATAGTCAGGGTGGATACTCAGAAAACGTTAGAGGTAAGCATTGAAGTCCCTTCTCCTCCAGCAGCTAAGGCGCCAAGTAAGCGAGTGGCAGTGGAAACTGGTTCCTTTATAGAAGAAAGGACCATAAAAGACAGGCTTACATCACCGTTGTTGTTGTTCATTGTGGTTGCCGAGTGCCATTGAGGCGATTTCAACTCATAGCGACGCCATGTGACTGAGTAAAACTTGTCCCATAGAATTTTCTAGGCTGTGATCTTTACAGGAGCAGATTGCTCGCTAGGTCTTTATCCCGAATGGCCACTGGGTGGGTTTGAACCGCCAGCCTTTCCATGAGTAGCCAATTGCTTAACCATTTTGCCACCTGGGCTCCTTAAATCACCATTAAGAGATGCAAACACATCTCAGATAAGTCACAACAGAATGTGTCCCACTGAGTAGCTTTGTGACTTGAGCATGTCACCTCACTTCTCTGGACCTTGGTACCCTCATCTTAAATGGGAACAGTGACCAGATGAGCACTCAGGTTTCTTCCCAATCAAGTGAATCACAGCAGGAGTCTGTGGATTTACAAGGGAAGCCACTTTGATTCAGCCCGTGGCCCCATTCCAGGAGGCCAGTGCTTTCCACATTAGGAACTGGGTTCCCAAGGGGAAAGCAAAGTGACATTTTGAACATCCCTGGGGTAAATGAAGGGTCAATATTAAACAAGTATTACTCTTCATAAATTCGTACTGAGCCCATCTAGCCCAAGTCCTTAAGGGAATGGGATTTTTTTTTTTTTAAAACAATGTTTCTTTCTCTTTAAAGGAAACTTGCCAAGGATGCAGAAGGAAATGAAGATGATCAAAGATGAGGATGTGTATTTCAATTTGGGTGTGAAGAGGGCCCCCTCCTTTCCCCACTGCCTGCAGCCGGCAGCTTCCCGGGGTAAAGCTCCTCAAAGACACCCTTTCCCAGAGGCTCTCCGGGGGCCTTTTTCCCAGTTTCGGTATGAACCTCCTCCAGGAGACCTAGACGGATTCCCCGGCGTCTTCGAAGGAGGAGGGTCTCGGAAACGGAAGAGCATGCCCACCAAGATGCCCTATAGCCACCCTGCGGAAGAAGCCCCTCTTGCCCTCCATTCTGAGGGGAACAAAAACCATGGCCCTCCGAAACTCCCTTTGCTGTTCCCGCAGCCCCCGCGCCCCAAGTATGACTCCCAGATGATCGACCTGTGCAACGTGGGCTTCCAGTTCTGCCGCACCCTGGAACACCTGGGGGCCAAATCGATCAAGCAGGAGCCCATTAAGCCCAGCGCTGTGTGGGCCCAGCCAACATCCCCGCCGTTCCCGCCCCCGCCCTACCCCTACTACCCCAAAGTCCACCCGGGCCTCATGTTCCCGTTCTTCATGCCCTCCTCCCCTTTCCCCTTCAGCCGGCACACCTTCTTGCCCAAGCAGACCCCGGAGCCGCTGCTGCCACGGAAAGCTGAGCCCCAGGAGAGTGAGGAAACCAAGCAGAAGGTGGAGAGGGTGGACGTGAACGTGCAGATCGACGACAGCTACTACGTGGACGTGGGTGGGGCGCAGAAGCGCTGGCAGTGCCCCACCTGCGAGAAGTCCTACACCTCCAAGTATAACTTGGTGACCCACATCCTGGGCCACAGCGGGATCAAGCCGCACGCGTGCACCCGCTGCGGGAAGCTTTTCAAGCAGCTCAGTCACCTGCACACCCACATGCTGACCCACCAGGGCACGCGGCCCCACAAGTGCCAGGTGTGCCACAAGGCCTTCACGCAGACCAGCCACCTGAAGCGCCACATGATGCAGCACAGCGAGGTGAAACCGCACAACTGCCGCGTGTGCGGCCGCGGCTTCGCCTACCCCAGCGAGCTCAAGGCCCACGAGGCAAAGCACGCCAGTGGGCGGGAGAACATCTGTGTGGAGTGCGGCCTCGACTTCCCCACCCTGGCCCAGCTGAAGAGGCACCTCACCACTCACCGGGGCCCCATCCAGTACAGCTGCTCCGAGTGCGACAAGACCTTCCAGTACCCAAGTCAGCTGCAGAACCACATGATGAAGCACAAGGACATCCGGCCCTACATCTGCTCTGAGTGTGGCATGGAGTTCGTGCAGCCCCACCACCTCAAGCAGCACTCCCTCACCCACAAGGTGAGGCCGGGATCCCCACCCAGGGCCAGGGCCTCTGGGCCATGGGTAAAATGAGCAGAGCCCTGGGCACCTGAACTGCTCTCCCACCTGTGACACTGGGGAGCTGTATAGCCCTGAGCAAGAGGCTTCTTCTCTGAGCCCTGAGTGTCCATCCTCACCTTAAATGGAGGAAATGAAATTATTTCTTAAGCCCTTTCCCTACCAAGGAGTCCTTGGGTGGTGCAAATGGTCAGTACACTTGACTACTAGCCAAAAGTTGGGAGCTTTGAGTCCAACTACAGGCACTTTGGAAAGAAGCCTGGTGATCTACTTTCAGAAACTCAGCCACTGAAAACTCTGTGGAGTACAGTTCTGCTCTGACACACACACGGGGTCGCTGTGAGTGGGAATCTGCTCCGCGACAACTGTCTTCCCCACCTAGCTTTCTAGAGTCTAGGTTCACCTGTGATCTGGTGATAATGCAGACATCTGACAAATAATGCAGACATTTTGGAGAGAAGTGTGAAGAGGAAGGAAACAGCTAGTAGTTGTGCTGTGGCTTCACAGCCCCCCTAGAATCCCTATAATTCTGTTTTTGGAAACTTCCTCTAGGGGACCAGCATAAGGAAAATTTCCCTGCCGGGAAAACGTATTATCAGACCCAATATACCCAAGACCAGTCTGTCCTGAGCTACCCCAGTCAGAGCCTTCTTCTGGAGAATTCTCTTCACTTTCTGATGCAGAGGCAGTGGCTACTCTTCGGGTTGTTTTCTCTGTCTGTTGTGAGACTTCCTTCATGTGCAGGTGGGCTTGAGGGGAAGAAGTGCCTGGCCCAAGCCCAGCAGGGCCTGCGGTTCCCTGAGTTGAGCCTAGTCGGGTGTTATGCTTGTGGTTTGTATTGTAGGAGGCATAAGAAAGCATCCTTCTCTGTTTGATTTGGTTTTATCTTTCCTGGGCTCAGGTCTTCAAGGAGGAATGTAGGCCCAAGGGCTTGAATTCGGCCTAGTTTGGAACCAAATCCCTGGTATCTTTCAGGCTGAAACAAGGTCCTAGTGGTGTCCCTGAAATTCTCCCTCCCTAAGCTGACTTGGATCTGCTCTGAGCTTCCGAGAGGGGAGTTTTGACCTACTCACCTCTATCCTCACACCCTTCACCCCAAGTGATTTTCTTGGCAGTAGAGACTTCTAGCAAGCCAGAGTTTCTAAAACATTCTTTAATTCTGAAAGGTCAGTGGAGGGCATTGTCCGGCCGAGATAACATTTCTGCTCTGCAATAATGGGTTTCATTTTTTAGGTTAGGACAAAGCACAGGGCATTTTCTGGCTCTGCAGCAGAGACGAAATGTGTGGCTGCCTTATGCGCTCTGTGCAAACAGCTCCTGCCCTGTATTTACAAAAGGCACCTGGAGGTGCCATCCAGGGGGGTGTCACCCTGCCACATCCAGGAACCTTCAACAAAGAACCTAGACTGAGATGCAGCCACAAAGGGGGCCAGTAGCTTATTTCAGGGACTCGAAAAGGACTCAAAATTGCATTTTAAAATATACAAAAATTCTATGAAACAGTGAAAAATGAAGTAGAAATAAGAGGAATGGCCTGGTGTCTGAAATAAGCTTTATTTGCATTAGAAAACAAAATGCATTTTAATTAAAGGTGTCAGGAAATAGAGCATTTACTGAGAGGTAGTTTTTATTGAGGTGTCCCTGGGTGGCACTAGTGGTTAAGCACTTGGCTGCTAACTTAGAGGTTGGTGGTTTGAGTCCACACAGAGGCCTCTCAGAAGAAAGGCCTGGTGATCTACTTCTGAAAAATCAGCATTGGAAATCCCATAGAGCTCAGTTCTACTCTGCCACACATGGGGTTGCCATGAGTTGGAACTGACTCAACGGTAGCTGGGAATATTTAACGCTTCATATATACCAGGTGCTTTATTTCTTATTTAATCCTCTTTAGCAACTCTGAGAGACAGCTACAGTTATTATTCTAACCGTTTGCGGATGAGGACACGGAGGCATGCAGAGGTCACTAGGGCTCTCTGATTCCTGCACTTCAACTCTTGAACACTCTACTATAAAGACTGACCCCTCTTCCACCCCCTTCCCATCATTCCTCCCCTTGCTCCTGGCTTCCTTCTGAGCCATTGAAACCCCCCACAGCCTCCCTCCCTGTGCTCTGATTGAGCCTGTTGGAGAAACAGCAGCCGCCTTTGTTCCCCAAAAGGTGTGTTTAGGCTTGCATTCATGTGAGTTCCAAGCGAGCCCAAGCATGAATTTTACTGGGACACACAGTTCTCTTTAGAGAATTCTGAAAACAGTGATAAGTAGATAAGTAGTGATAAGTACATCCCAGGACGACTGGATCATAGCTGACTCGAGAGAATATCTTGAGAGAAGAAAGATGCTGATGTGAATTTTGAAACGCTAAAGAAAATATTTTTCATAATTTTAAGCTCACTGTTTGAATATACAATATCCTTTTTTTTTTACATTTATCTTGGGAGAGTGTTAAAGTTTAATTCTAAGAGGGGGTTGATTTCTAGAGTTTTTCATTAGCATAAACCCATACTCAGCAGCAGTCATTTAGATAAAGAGTGTTAGAGCTGGAAAGAACCCCAAGGTTCTCAGGACCCACCACTTCATCTTGAGATGAGGAAAGCAATACCAGGAAAGGCCACGTGACATGTCTAAGGTTATGATGCAGCCAGTAAGTGGCTAGGCGGAGACCGGAATCCATCATGTAATGCCATGGATTCACCAACACTGAGGCAAAGTACAAATTAAAGAAAAGGAAATATAGGTAGAGAGAGGCAGTGCTGGGCTTGGAACCCCCTTCCTCCTTAGATCATTACGGATACCAGGCAATATGGGCTTTATAAGGTATATCTGTTAGTTGTACTAATCCTACCATAACCTTCTTTTAATGCTATGGTTCTCTAAGTTTTCCTTCCTAAAAGTCTTTCCAGGAAAAGATCTCTTGCAAAGGCCTTTTCAGGGAAAGAATGGTTAGTCAGGATTAGCTAATACTCTCCTCCAGCTATGAATCCCCAGAAGTGCTCTCCACGGAGAGCGTTGATACTTAAGTATTCAAACACATCTCCAAGAACAATTTTCTAGTTTAGAAAGCTATTCCCTAACGAATTTCTCTGTAAGAAGCCAGTTTGGGGGCTCCATAGCTGTGCCACACAGAGGTCACTATGGCTGAAACCTGTGGGAACCCAGGGGACCAACTCAACAGTGTGATTATCAAGTTGTAATTTATCGAAGTGTGGGTGTAAACTCTTTTTCTGGGGTTTTCAAGTACATTAATAAGAACTCAGTAGAACGTTGGTTTTCATATGTGAAATGATAACATCAGTTTAGAAGGCTTTGTTTCTTCATTATCATGAAAGCTGGATTATAGACTCATTCCACAGATCATTCTAGTGTTCTTACCAAGATTCTATTAATCCCCGAGAACTCTTACTGTAGAATTAACCCCAGCAGCAGCAGGAACAACAAAAGCAATAGCTTTCTTTTCCTCTGCTGGTCTGGCTGGTTTATGGTTTTCAGAAGAAAAAAAAAAAATGATGTAATCAACTCTTTTAAAGAAAATAGTAATTTAACAAGGTTAAAGCCACACCATTTGGAACTCAACATCTATCACCAGGCTCTTTGTGGATTTATTTGGCAGAGAGAGAAAGGAGGACTATAATCAAGATGAAAGCATGTTACCTGTTAACCACCGTTTTCCTGAACCTTGCCTTCCTCCAGGGCGTGAAGGAGCACAAGTGTGGCATTTGCGGGCGGGAGTTCACCCTGCTGGCCAACATGAAGAGACACGTGCTGATCCACACCAACATCCGCGCCTACCAGTGCCACCTCTGCTACAAGAGCTTCGTGCAGAAGCAGACCCTTAAAGCACACATGATCGTCCACTCTGATGTGAAGCCTTTTAAATGCAAGGTGAGCAGCATGTCCGGGAGGAGTGAGGAAAAAGGGGATTCAGAGGGTTGTGCAAGTGATCGACAAGGAAGGGTCCCCAGAAAACCTTCTACACCATTTCATTAGAGGCCCAGAGTACGTCCTTGGCCAACGCCAGGTACGATCTGCTGCTCTGAGCCTCTTTCCATCCCCCCTATGCTCATTGGTCCCTGAGAAGTCTGTTCTGTTTGTCTCACTATGGAATCAATGCCCAGAGCAAGTACATTACAGAGAGAATAGGCTGCTTCTGGGTAGAGGCAGGCAGTAGGAGAAGGTGTGAAGGGTGGAAAGGTCCGTTTGTAGAATGAGGTTTCCAAAGGAAGAAGGTGATGTGGAGAGCTCCTGTTTTAGAGTGGAGAAATCAGATGCAGCCTTCTCCCCTTTACAAGGCCATGAGTAAAACGTAGAAAGGAGTTAGAGAAACTTCTAACACTGTCTTCTCTCCTTTCCCACTCCTTCTCTCCTCCCCTCCTAGCACTTGGGCTGAGTGGTATAAATTGAGAGAAGCCCTCCTAGACAGGATAAATGGGATTTCGAGCCTAGTCCTTCACATGATCTCAGAAATGCTTGGTTAGGGTGAGGAATAACCATTAGCACAGTCATTTGAAGCGTTTTCTATTTGCGCCTAAATAATACACAGTACAGGGATTGTAAAAAATGGCGTGGGAGTGTTGGACCTCCTTGTCTAACTGCACAGTGTGGGAGGAGAATCATTATCAGCATCAATAGCTCAAGGCTGATTGCTGTGAGGTGGAGACATATTTCCACCCCCTAACCTTTTTACCAATTCTGGCACCAGCTGTCCCTCCCACAGCACTCTCTACTTCTCTGCTGGGTTTAATAATCCATTGCAATGGCCACACAGAACTCACAGACCCTACTCACAGTTATGGGGTTTATTAGAAAAGTAACAGGTTATAATTCAGGATCAGGAATGACTCAGGATGCAGTTCTTCAATCAAGACAGCTTCTCAGCCATGCCCGCAGGTAGGCCTCTCTCTCAGCCCCTCGGCCCCTCAGCCCAGCCTCTGCTCTGCTCAGGCAAGTGTTACAAAGCTCTTTAGCTCTGCCAATAAGTGCCCAGAGGCACCCCACTCTGCCAGTAAGCCTCTGCCCAAAAGAGCTCAGCTCTCCCACTCCGTGGGTCAGCACGCCCACTGTAACT